AAGAGAGAGAGAGAGAGAGAGAGAGAGAGAGAGAGAGAGAGAGAGAGAGAGAGAGAGAGAGAGAGAGAGAGAGAGAGAGAGAATACTTACCAGAGGGAGGTTGATAGGCTAGCAGCCATAGCTGCATGTACACCGAACTTGGATAATATTGTTGTTTGGGGAACAATCATTTCGTTTTCCGGCTAATCGCTATCTCGCTACCTTGTTTGAGTGATCTGTGTGAAACTCAGTGTGATGCACGGTTTGATTGGGGTTGAATTTGGGCTGGTTCATTGCACTGGTATCGGAGCGTGCTCTCGTTGCATTGCTGGAGGAGAAAGTTGAGGCCGACATCGATCAAGGCCAGCGGGCGTTGAGGGGGAGTTGGCCGTAGTGGGAGAGACTGGGCAGGAGGAAGAAGATGCAAAAAAAGGAGAAGGAGATCGGAGGGTTCACTCACCTGAATCTTCATCAAGCAGCAGCCGTCGGCATCAAGTTTGAGTGAAGTGCTCCTCAACCCTAGCCCTTGTCGATTCTGCAGTTGCTTTGTTTTGTGAGTTTCTGCCACTCTTTCCCATCGGAATGATCGGATGCAAAAGCTGCTGTTCAATCCCTTCACTTTCGAATTTTTGTTCATGTCAACTTCAGTGCCACATTTCTGTTGATGTCCACTCGGTGTCAAAGTTCTGTTGATGTCAACCTTGGTGTCAAATTTCTGGAGATGTCAACTTAGGTCAGGGTAGAGACTCGACAGCTGGCATGCGACCACGTAAAGTAGCAGCACGGGCAGAGAGCGGCTGGCGCTCGTTCTAACTCTAAGACCAGTTCTCACAGGTCAGCAGAATGCATTGGCAGCACTTGCAACTGTGCAAAACATGTGTTTGTGTTTGTGTTTTTGTTACTCTCACAGCGCACACCCATACTTCAACTGTTTTCACTGATATCCAAAGTCAAAAGGGAAAGAAACAGCCCAGACATGAACCCAACAGCCATGACTGGGTTCTAAACAGGTCAGCGGCACTTGCAACTGTGCAAAGCATGTGTTTGTGTTTTCGTTACTCCGAAAAGCGCACGCTCGCACTAGAACTGTTTTCACAGAATCTCGTCATACTTGTGGTCCGGTACGTGGACAAAATTCTATTACGAATGAATACACCCTCCCTAAGAGATTTGTGGCCCCAACATGCACATGCAAGGAGCCAATCAATGAGGACTCAAAATTTCCCTAAGAGATTTGCGCCCCCGACATACCAGAACAAGCAAACACGTGAGCAGAGTTGAAAGCAGAAACAGAATTACAAAGCCGAGAGCACACCGAACGAGAACTCACTGAACGCTGAACTTTCTCACCTCCAAAAATCAATACAGCCTATACTCCTCTCCTCTCCTCTCCCACTCTCTCTAGACAGATCCTACTACTCTCTCGCACACTCTCCATTCAGACTCCTCTCGCCAGACGATGCTGAAGGGCCTGACCCCTTGAGTGTTCCTCAGCCAAAGGAGGGGCCGCCAGTGGAAATGTGCCCGTCCTGGAGAGAAGGCCACGGCAGCAGAAAAGGGTCCGGTCCTAAGAGGTGGTGGTGCCTGGCAGTTCGGCAGAAGCTAGACCCCAGCTTAGGCCCAACCTCACGGTTAGTTATAGAGGTTGAACCCAGACAGTCCAGTAGGGAGTAGGGACTGCCTGCCGGGACACAGGCTGCGGCCTCAAGAAGAGACAAAAGAAGCGTTGGGGGACAGGATATTCAGGCACTGGCGGCTTGCGAGAGATCTGCGCTAGCGCATAGCGGTCAGGCAGCGCAGACAGAGGGAGAGCAGCTGCGGGTAGCTGCTCAGCCAATGGCTGCCATAGCTGGCACATGCTGGAGGTAGTAGTAGGGTGGCACTGGGTCAGTGGGATCAGGGAGATGGGGCATCAGCGAGAACTGGTGGGCCTGTAGCCTCACATACAACATGACAAGAAAAGACATCGATGGACTTTTGAGTACAGATCAAGCAGACAGATAACAACATCGAACCTCCCTTCGGCGAATTAGTCAAGACTCGAGGGTCTTTTTTTTTTTTCTTTTTTTTTTTTTGCAGAGCAAGCCGCTTCATTTTTTTGCTCTCTCTCTCTCTCTCTCTCTCTCTCTCTCTCTCTCTCTCTCTCTCTCTCTCTCTCTCTCTCTCTCTCTCTCTCTCTCTCTCTCTC